AGCAAGTCCCAAGTCACTGTGGTGAGAGTCAAGCAAGTCAAGTCATACACAATTCTGATGAATAAGCCCAGTTTCCGCATCTAAATCAGTTAAAAGACAGTGGTTATGAAAATGGATTCAAACCACACTATGATCTTCATTACATACACAGTTAATCATTTGAAATCTAATTTAGACCGATGACAATCATTAGATTCATATTAGCCCTAACTGCAGACAATATAGCTAGGACTCAATCAAAAAGTCTGTTCAAAAAGGCAGAATTCCAGGTAAGAAAATCATATATGGCATTTGCCATTACACATATTTAATTTAAATTTCTGTTAACATNCGGGCGCCGTTCATAAAATTGCAGCACACTGCTCCTAATACTAGGATGGGTTTGATATACTTTATTAATCCCCGTGGGGAAATTGTTTCTCTGCATTTGACCCATCCTAGTATTAGGAGCAGTGTGCTGCAATTTTATGAACGGCGCCCGGGGAAAACTTAAAAAAACTTGTTGAGGGCTAAAATTAGTCTTTGCTACTGCCTCAAAGAGGAGAAGGGAGGAGAGGAGGGAGACAGGAGAGGCTGATTCAGGAGCACGGACACACTCAACTATAAATGAAACAAAAATAAATAAATAAACAAGTTTCAATGTTTTTTTCATATTGGAAATGGGATGTTATTGGTTATGGCCATGCTTTTATGATTATTAAAATGTACACAGTTCTGTTTCATATAGGTGTTTCCATAGATATTCTCTTTATTTTCCCCTCAAAATGCACCAGATTGATGCATTTAACTCCAACATTTAAAAACAAATCTTACCGGTGGAGCATGCCCCCGGACCCCCCTAGAGGATTTGAAGTCCACCCCCATTTAAAATCACATTGATAGGTTCCTAAATAAATTTAACATTTTTTTTAAATAGTAACCCATGTCCATATGTTTATATGTGGGTAGTAGATTTAAACTATAGGGCTATCACTATGGGCCCTGCCTGTACCTGTTCGCTCTGCCATCGTGTGAAGGGTCTGCTAAAAAGCGACCAACAGAAAGGTTAATGTTGTTCACCTCAACCACCACCCCCGCCAAGTATATTTCAGATCTGTGGGAAACACTGCTGTATATTCTTTGTGTGTTTTTCCCCCAGATCTCTACTTCCAAGGAGCTAAAGGTTTTAAAAAGAGAAAACATAAAGGTAACTATGGCCACCAGCTTTAAGCAATGCTAACAAAATGGCTTTACGAAGTTGACCTATCACTTTAGTCCAGACTGAAATATGATGACAACCACGGGAAGAAGTACGATTACATTTTGCACAAGAGGTCATTGGCATGGCCACCGATAACGCCACTTGGCCCTTGAGACAGACTATATTTTTTGACAATATCTTTATTTAACCAAAGAACATCTGGTGTTGTGTTTCTTCCCCTTCCCTTAACGAGCTGGGATGTAACAGAAACTAATCAGATAACAGATTGTTATAGTGGCACAGGCAAGCGGGGGAGGTAACCATTTAAACAAAACTAACTTGTTGTTTTTCTCCCAAGGCTCTGCGCCCTACCTTGCAGTGAGCATAGAGCAAGTCTCTTAAAGCGTCCCATTATGCTTTTTTGGGGTTGTCCCTTTCCTGTAGATCCTGTGTGAGAGTGGGACCCGCATACAGACATGTGTATTAGCCTTAGCAGCAGAGTCCACTACTCTCCTCCACATAAAGTTACACACACAGTCTGGTGGAAACACTGTTCTGAGAGTGCACACACACCCTAACATTACACTATAGTATTATACTGTGTTATACCAAGTATTATAGCATTATACTGAAGACCCATTATTTTCCAATAATGAGCATTTCTCCAAGGAAAGTTCTACTCCAACATGACGTTAACATTTTATGGCTTTCAATGAACTGTCTCAACAACTAATGTCATGGACATTTATCACACTCTTGGCATAATTTATCTGAACATTTATCCCACTCTTGGCATAATTTATCTGAACTCTGGTGATGCTCTGACTTGGTGTGTGTGTGTGTGTGTGTGTGTGTGTGTGTGTGTGTGTGTGTGTGTGTGTGTGTGTGTGTGTGTGTGTGTGTGTGTGTGTGTGTGTGTGTTTGTGTCAGGTGGCTTCTTCAATCCGTACAAAGACAAAGAGACTGTTGGATGCCAAAAATGAGCTGATGGGGTGAGAGGCGGTTCGGATGCAACAACAGATCAGTTTTCATTTTGATTCCTGTTAAATCTTATAGTCTAAAAGATTAAAAATATTCCCTTTGAAAGAATCTAGTAATAAAAACCGTTATGGTTTCAACAGTGAGGTCCATAATTTGCACATAAATGTATTTTCAGTGATATTTTCTAAAGTCAGCTCTTTTTTTTATTCTTATCTAAGTCTGTTTTTTGTTCATTTCAAAAGTATTTTTAAATGTTTTGGTGGAATCAAACGGATCCCACTTACCCTACGACGACAAAAAGACATTGTCACGGTATAGAAAATAAAGATACGATTAGTAATTTTAATGATTAATTTAAATATTTCAACCTAAAAATAATCCTGTATAAATGGATATAACAGGGGAAATAAAATACAGAAAAATAAGAATACATTTGTAATAAAAACTGAAACGGGGTGAAACCTATGTTCTTTAAACAACCTTTACTTCCTGTTAAGGTTACTTCTATCCTTAACTCACAATGCATCCTCTTTTGATTGGTCAGGGGGGAGAGGCAGGTGTGTTTGCTGCAAAAGGAGAAATCTGAACTTAAAGCACGACTAGCTGATCTGAGACGAGGCCAAGCCTTCCTGCACGACATCAGAGAGCTCAACACACAATACCTGGACTACCGACACAAACACCCCAAAGAAAAAGAGATGGTATACACACAACTTTAGCAAATCAACCTACATTTATTTTAATTGATGTTTTTTAAAGCATTTTAGAGGGGCCCTATTATGCTTTTTGGATGTTTCTCTTTCCTGTAGTGTGTTATATCGATTTCTCTGCTTGTAAATGGTCTGCAAAGGCTAAAATGTTAACTTTTCTCTTCTGCACCCCCCCTGCATGAAACGCCTCCATTAGACTTCTTTCTTACTTTAACATAGTGACATCAATACGTAACACTTCCACTTCTATTGGCTAGCGCACCAACACATTGTATGTGATAGGCTAAGGCCACGTTTACACAGAGACGAAAACGAACCGATGTCGATATCAAAAAAGTCTTCCGTCCACACGGAATCGGCTCAAGAAACGTGTCCGTCCACACGAGACCGCTCGAATCGCTGGAGACGCTATAGTACATAGGCCTGGCCTGTAAGTGGCGCTGTACTTCAGCCACAAAATACACCAAAAGCAGCGAAGAAGACCCTCCGAGCATGGTTGCCACGGTTGCCTGGTTGCCCTTCTGTTTATTCTCCGCGGTGGATTTAGCAACATGTAGTTCATGTAGTTCTCCATGTCCACTTGTTGCTGATGGTTGTGGTAGAGGAGCTGTAGATTTTGCACTAACACCTGTAGCATGGTCAGTAGTATCTGGAGCACGAAAGCAACGGTGTGATCCGCCATTGTTGTTGGCGAAACACATCAGCGGTGACGCGGGGATGAGCAGCAGAGGTGGGTAGAGGTGGGGCTATGGCGTCATCGTTATCAGGAAATGGTCGTATAGGACGTACGCACAGCCGTTTGGCCCCCCAGAGCGTCTCGTCCACAGATCTACCTACCTTGGGAGCTGTTAGGGGCCTCCGTTTTCCGCGGTTCCTCTACGGCTTCGTGTGGACAAACCGTCCATACGATAGAGAACTGTAGCGGATACAACCCGTTTCGTCTCTGTGTAAAAGTGGTAGGACATCTCTAAGTGGTTGACCAATCACAACAGAGCCGGTCAGCTAACCAATCAGAGCAGACTGGGCTCTGGTTTCAGATAGAGGGTGAAAAGAGGTGCTGCAGCACAGGTAGTATGAGAAAAATAAAAAAAATGTCAACATTAAAGCATGGAGACATTTCACAGTAGAGGCACAAATTACAAATGTGAGCATAAAAGGGCCCCTTTTAATATAACTGACTGACACTCCTTTCCTTCTTCCCCCTCTCCTGCAGTATGGTGCCTCCAGCTTGCCAGCTCTGCTATTAGAGGCCAAGAGTATTCAGGCAGAAGAACTTCAGCCAAAAGGAAACAATGAAGAAGAACAAAACTCAGAAATAATGCACTATACCCCACACACTGACATTTCTTAAACCAGTAAATGGAAAAGTGACATTATTTATTTTTGTGTTTATATGATTATTTAGTTTGATAAAGATAAATGTAACGCTGGGAGAAAGAAGGAAGGAAACGTAGAGGATCCCCAGATCGAAATATAATCCTGTTCGGTAACCTTACTAATCACATTAAAATACCTTGAACCACTTGCAGGAAGTTTTGGTTTTGGTGATGTGGTTTATTGGTTTTGTGTTCAAAGTTATGTTTTAATTCTTCTAAATCATCTTTAAATATAAATGTTACAGTACCCTACATTTAATGTGTTACTCCATCCAAAATAAAAAACAGACATTTCTCCAGATGTCCTAACTTCTCTTACTTCTCTTACTCCTACTCCAATAGAAAATTCAAAATTGAGAAAAAATACTGTTTCATACTGGATTTAGATTTATGTAATACAAACCTTCCTTCTATTGCATGTCGTGTTTGATAGTTATGTTGAACATACTGCGCTATAAACCTCTGTGATAATATACAGTATGTGGTAAGTGCGTCACTGTAATATTTCTGACAAAATGTAACAACATATAAGTAGACCTCTGTCTGACACTTAACCATTTCAGTGTCTCCAGCATTTCAGTTACTCTGGTACTGTAGGAGCACTGCAATGCACATCGTGCTGCCTTATTTTGTGCTACTTGTAATTTGTATAAGTCTTTTTCTGCAGCAATAGACCAAATAACCAAACAATAATCAAGCTGCAACAGAACCAATGCATCCAAAACCTGTCTAGTGGCAAATATTTGACAAGTGACACACCCCTTCCCATTTTACATACATATTGCAATATTATGAGAAAACTCAAAAATAATGATTTCATTTCTTAAAATACTAACACAGTATTCCGAGAAAGTGTCTCATTATATCGACAAGATATTTTCCTTTCATCACATTGGTGTAGATACACCCATTCTTGCCTACACACAAGCAAGGCAAGAATAGGTACGCACAACAGAAGACAATATAATTAATCACATGCGATTTAACAATAATTTCTTAAACCAAAATGCGAAAGTTATGTCCCTTGAAATCCTGAATCCAAAAGTTTGAAATCTACAAACCACATTAGTTGAAGCTAAGTAAACAGAAACAGCCTTCTGTTCAGGTTCGTAACTGTAACAACATGTGAGTCCAAGTGTGTACAGAGAGAGTATTGAGAAGCAACTCATGAGTTTATTTTAGAGCCATTTCATTTATGCACCAGAAGGCGACAGTATAGTCCCAGCAAGATTATTTGATGTCACGTACAGTCTATAGTTACATCTCACAGGGCTGCTTTCCTGGAAAAATAATTTAGTTTTAAGGTTGAACTATCTGTATTTATTTCCAACTGGTCTAAAATAATTGTGCATTAAGACCGATGAAAGGCTTTGAACCTGTTTTCTACTGGGTTTGGTATACTATAAAAATAGGAATGATTAACAGTTCATCAGGATGGTTGTTGTAAATCGGTGGTGACATGTTGGGAATGCAGCCTAGATGAAGCCAGAAGAAAATATCAAATGTAGTTAAGAAGGCCTTTAGTGAATCAAAAGCCCTGAAAAACGTACACTATTTCAGGAAGTTAAATGATTACAACTGCATGTTTGATTAAGAACATATTTGAATCACAAACTGCAATGCTGCAGTTTTGTAAAGAGGCTACCAAAAAATTACCAACTGAAACATGTAAAATAAATAAATAAAATGCGCTTTGGTCTTGTGGTTCTAACCCACATCTTCAAAACAACAGTTCAGGGCAGGCTTATATAGTGAAAACAGCTTCCAAATAACTAAAGTTAGGTGTACGCACACACACGCAACCTGATTTGACAGACTAATTAAACTTTTTAATTTGTGCGTTTTTCTTCACAAAGTTATATAGTAGGTTGTATTTCTGGAGATGAATTGTTTTAAATATGATGTAAATTATATATTTTTTATTTGAAAAGGTGCATTAAATGTGCATGCTCATAAAATACTGTAGTTTCAGTTTTTCCTTTATTTAAACATGTTCTGACACGACAAGAGATTGGTCGTCACGTTACCGGACAGATTTCTAAGCCAATGAACTGCTACCTATGGTCAAGGTGTGCGCCTAGTTTCTCCCGCCCACATAGGGAGGGGCGTTCCTGATTGGCTGAAAGTTGAAGAACAGTTTAACATTTCCTTATACTCTAATAATAGTAGAGACGGACGGGGGCTAACGACTTACACAAAAAGGTAGGTTTATTTAAAAAAAAAGAATACAATATATAGATATATCATTAGTTTTAATTCATATTTTGACGAAGCTTGACTTTTGTCGTGTCTGCTGTGGTTAACAGAGCTTGTAAAACCGGCTGTAGTAGGCTATGCGTTTTTGTGAACGGGAAACTTAATTTACTTCGGGTACCACCTTAAATAAACAACTCTTTGTCGGTAGGTTAATGTTCATTCTGAAGTAGCAGGCAGTTGTGAATTCATTCGGTGTTTTTAAAATAAATGCAGGTGCGTTAAACCATAGTAGCCTCTGTTATGACAGATATTCAAAGTTTGGTTTCACTGGTGCTTTTAATCCAGTATACTTGCTCGTTAGCTAGTTACAGCAAACATGCTCTATAACACGACTACCGTTGTAATGTAATGTACTGTCACTTCTTCAGCGTACACAACACTCCTCAGTCGAAATAAAGCGTTTATATAATATTCACTTTTTAATGAATATTCCCTTGTGCTTTTTCTGCGGTATGATTTGTAAGTGACTCAAGTCGGTTTACAACACTCGGTTAATCATTCCCACTTTTGACTGGCTCTGTTCGGTCAATGCAGTTTCGCTATGAGCTACCTCCTGACGTCAACAGTATTATATTGCGATATTCATATCATATATTGCAGGATGCATCAGCTCCAGTGGTGTGTAGAGTAACTAAATAGATGTACTTAAATACAATTTTGAGGGACTCAGTGTTTTGCCTCTTTCAACTCCACTACAATTCAGATTTAAATCGTGTACTTTTATTCCTCTACATTTATTTATTAACTTTAGTTACTTTACAGATTTTGTTTAATGATGTGAAATATAATCAACACTTAAACAAAACTTTAGTTACACCTGGAGTACATTCACAAGCTAATTTAAACTAGCTGCACCTTTACCTACTTAAATCACAATATATATTATAAGAAAATGGGCCAATCTCCATAATGAGTACTTTTACTTAAGGTACTTTAAGTTTATTTTTGATGCATTGCTTATACTTAAGTACTTTTTACTTGAGTAACATTTGCATATACCATATATTATGCAATGGAATTTAGTTTATAGTCACATTTCGTTTAAAGCCTCTTTGTAATGTACCATCCTGTGTAATGTAGGGCCTACCACCTGTATCAAATATGTTTTTTTAAAAGTGTCTGCTGTCCAGTAAGGAACGTCTTTTCTTTTTTTCTTCTTTTTAAAAAGTTGCCAAATGTAAATCATACAGAAGGCTGCATTTAAAGAAGTGACTTCACCCAAATTGCACAGGAAAGACATTTCCATAAACAGCCTAGTTATCTTTTTGGGTATCTGGACATTGCTGCTGCATGTAGTCCAGCAGATATGTGAAAGAATTGTACTTTTGATGATAAAAGCATGACATTTGGCACACTGTTAGAGCATGCCCTAAGGAAGATTTTTGGCTATAGGGCCATCGCAAATTTGTCCACTGGTTGTTATTTTACCAGTAGTTTAGGATCTAGACCACCTAGGATCTTGATTCTGGTGGCTAATCCTAGATTGGTACTATTTACAACATCCTAGAATGTAGCTAACTATATGTGTCTGGTATTCAGGGAACAAAATACACAGTAAATTATTAACATATTTATTATGGTGAAGTAATACATGTTACATAATATATATGTAATATTACAGGTTTTTAACTAAATGTAGACTTAGTTCTGAAAACACAGTCCACCACAGTGGTAAAGGGCAGTGCACTGAATTGCTAACTTGACACATTTGCATTGTCCACTGCACCCCTTTTTGCATCCACAGCGGAGGAGTTCACAACAGGCCTGGGTTGCTTCTGGTAATGTGGTCCAGTAAACTTCCCATCTACCTGTGGCCTTCCTCTTCCACCCCCAGTCACCTGGGGATGGGAGTTCAGGGGCTGCAAACATCATCTGTCCCCAGCAGTGACCAGCTTGGAAGGCAGCTCTCTTTAAATCCTTCAATTGTTCTACCTTTCTGGGTGAAGAGCTACTTGCGTGACTGATTCAATGACTCTTGGCTGCTAGCAGTACCACAAATCGCTTCAGAGGCTCCATCCAGTTGTGTACGGAGTCTGGGGTGGCAGCCAAGGCACAGAAGGCTCTAGTGGCAATCATCAAACGTCATCCATGTATCCCACGCCGTCTTCTTGCCCCTGCCACCAAAAGATGACAATGTCACATCCAGTAAATGCATGGAACATTGATCTGGATCAATCCATCGATCTGGACCTAGTGACCTTGCCACCTCATGAGCTGCTAAATGCTGAAAACTCTTCCCAGCTCCAAAGGCAACCCACAGCAGTGATGTTGGCACAATCTTGGTCAAGGCATTTATGTAGAGTAGGAAGTCGGCCTCTCTTATTGATCGCACATAGATCATCAACTCTATTTCCAGCTGCAGGATGATTGACCGGAAGTGGAACTGGGAACATGACACTGCTCTTGTCCACCCCGCTACCCCTCCAGGAGATCTTCACTGTGAGTTGCTGGCCAGCTCCACTTGATTTGTTTAGCCACAGCGTATAGAGGTTGATCCAGAGCATACTTGCCAACCTTGAGACCTCAGAAATCGCTAGTGGATCGCCGGAGCTGTTAGATTAACATTAACATGCTTATTGTAGTTCTGAGTTGTAGTTCTGAGTTGCGGCCTGTTGCACCAGAGGGTCGAGATGTCGATTCTTGTTCTGTTTTTCTGTGACTATGTAGTTGCGCACGCTACTAAAGTCATGGGCGTCGCAGCCATTATATGAGGGTGGGACAAGTCCCCCCCACTTTTTCAAATGATTATTTTAGACCCCCCCACTTCTACCATGTGGAAAGTCCGTGAATCGGTCACTCTCCGCACTTTGTAGAGCGCTGTGTCAGTGCTTCACTATCAAATCCATTCCACTTGCTTATTGTGAGAATGCCCAAATCAATGAAACTTCGTACCATGTTTTCACTGCTACTTTGTACCAAGGCAGATTCTCAGCGCCGTACACATGAGCCGTACACATGAGCCGTACACATGCTGCGTTCTTTGTGTAGCTGTGTCTTTAGTTGAAAAATGATGCGCGCCACAGT